AGCACTGTTTGGATGCAGGAGGATGTGGGCGTCTTTGCTCCCTTCAGCATTCTCTCTCAGTGTGAGGGAGACAGACTCTCATTATCATTTATGCAGCATGAGCCATAATTTGGATTGATGTGACCACTGGTTAACGCAAAGCATCCGTTTCCCCTTGTACCATGAAAGCATTTTACTTCATTTTGTTCATCAATGTATCGTGCAATTAATTCAGCCCTGCTTATTACATCCTGGGCTTGCATGTCATGGGCTCAGGGGACTTAGAGATGTCTTAATGATCTCAAGGAGATGAAAACAATGAGAGAGCTATGACAGACATTATGCATTTGCACGTCTCTCACACCTATGTGATCTGGGGGTTGGTTGTTTTTTATCTCTGCCTTGTGCTGCTTGTACCTTGGAAATTGCCTCTCTGTGTAACTCGCTGTCTCTGTTCCCTTCCCCAGGCTTGCTAAAGCAACATCAACATGGAGAGGAAGATAAGCACTAAGTTAAAGAAGACCAGCAGGGAGAAGCAGGAGACCCACGAGACTAGAAAGAGGATATGGAGTGGGTTTTTTTTGGTGACTAGAAGATTGGTCCAAGTGGGTTGAGCTCACTGCAACTAATACCCAGCAATTAGCTGCTTTCTGTCAAATGTATTGGTGGTATTCCTCGTGCAGAGTGAGTAAAAGCCCAATATACAGCTGATTCCCTTCCTGACAGCATGAAAGTGAGGCTAATAAGGCAGAAATGCTTTCCTCTGCATTTTCAGGGCACTGTACCCTTGGTGGGTAAGGTGATAGCAATTCCATGGGGAAGTAAAGGAGTTACTACAATTGCTCCTGGTGTCCTTATCGAGCCCATGGGGATGGAGACAAGCTCACCCCTTGTAGATCTGCCCTTCCCACCTCTCTCTTGGGGTCTAGTCTGAAGGTAGCTAAGGGCTGCAGCTGCCACCAGTGTCTCTGAGTTGTGCCCCTGGCTATGGAACTGGGAGCAGTGAAGGCACCAGCTCAGCACTAATGCATATATTACCTATAGAATCTTTCTGAATAAGCAGTGAGGAAGGGCAGATAGAAGTTGTCTGGCTCTACAAACTCCCTTTTAAATCCCAATGGGTAATTGGCAAGCAGAAACAGTCAGTCTGGACTGGGAGGGGATGCTGTAGGCATTTTGTAGTGCTGGTGGGGAGTATCCTCCTGCAGCTTCACTGCAAAACAGACTGTGGCAAAGTGATGTGGGGAGTGGAGAAGGTTACATTAATGTGGCACCTTGGCAAACACACTTGAAAGTCCTTTCCAGTCTCAGCAGTGATGAGCTGCTCCTCTGATTTTCTAAAACCTAACAAGAGCTTTGAGTTATCACTGAGGGACTACTCTTCAAGATTCACTGACACTCCAGAAAATGAACTGACACACCAGAATTGAGTTTATGGAGTACATATGCTCACTCAGAACATTCCAAGAAAACAACATCCTTTGCTTTTTCTGATGAAAAATAGGAAAGCAATGGGGTTTTTTTTCCTAGGCTTTCTGTAGCAGAGAGTGACTGGCATGGACGTGAACAATTTGGTATAGCATGGGTTAGAAATTGAAGCACTTTCACACACTGTGGATTGACAACAGGGTAATTACTGGGGGAGGGAGGGAGGAGAGAGGGTTTCAATAAAACACCCCCAAGCTAAAATGAATGCAGACTATTACAGACCTGAGACAGAATGATTCCCAAGTGTTTTAATTTGTGCTTCCACTCCTTGTCTCTCTTGCAGTCATAATTTTGGCAACTGCCAGCAACATCCCTGAGATTCAACAGCATTTGCAGAGCAGGCAGCTGCTGAGATGATTATGTCAAATCAGCACGCTGTCCCTTCTCTTTTCCATGTCTAATGATCCTCACCCTTGGAGAAGTGGTTTAAAATGATGTGTAACCCCTTGGACTCGCTGTGAGGCTGCTAACAGCAGTAACTGTCGAGCAGGAGTTTGGGTGGGACTCTGTCACTCACCTTTCTTGCATGCATGCCCTGCAATTAACTTTAAAAATTATTGCACAGAGCCCTGCTAGGGCTGGTTTGGGCCTGATCCAAAGTCCTTTCAAGACAATAGAAAATCTTGCAAGAGCTCTGGCTTGAACTCTCTGGGGGCAGCAGAGAAGCTGAGCTTGTGTGAATTCTTAATTCCAGTTTCTCAAACAATCAGTTGAGAAGAACATACAAATCAAGACTCGCTTGGCATTTGTGTCACTCCCTCCTTTAGACCTAATGCCCCCAAAGGCAGAGCTGTCACTGTCTGCCCTGTGACTGGGAGATACTGGGAAGGAAGGGGAAAGTTGCTGAATGTAATCCAGTGATAGTATCGTTCTGCTGCTGCTGCTGCCATGCCCTTGAGACAGCATAGAGAGGCACTAAAAAGCTTTGCCAGGCTCACAAGTGGGTTGGACTTGTTGTACAAATGTTGCCCTGGGGTTTTCTATCACAGGCTGCTCTTGCATTCCACACCTTGGCATGTTATTTACTCAACAGCTTTCCTTTGCACTGCAATTGTAAAGTCAGGAGTTGATGTGGCTGATACATAATTCAGGCTGTCTGATTCTTTTCATGCTGCTGTGGCTGTGCAGCAAGTGCCTGTACCACTGCTCACCCCTCCTGCTTCACCTCTGCACCATCACAGCTTGATTCAGAGGGAAAGGGGCTCGGTCATGGGCTCTCTTCCTGAACCTCCAATGTGAGCAATCAATCCAGTAATCCTGTGGCTTGATTGATAATAATTAACTCAATTTTCACTGACCTCACGCATTTAACTAGTCCCACCAATAGAGAATAAACTGCTCTTTATACTCAGAGCTAATAGCAGGCTGAAAGCTGAAAAAGCAAGAGCTGAAGCAAGTCTTCTTTTGGAGTCTAAAAAAGCTCTGCCTTAAAATTCAGACTTGCTTGTATTCCACATGCTTAGCAACAAAATCTTGCCCAAACCCATGGTCCTACAGGGATTGTGTACATATGTAAAGGGCAAGGAATACCTGCATCTCCAAGGATAAAGTCCCCTGCCACATTCCCTGCTTTCTTTCCATTGCTCTGTTCCACCCAGATCTCTTCTTCTACACTGCAGTGTGGTGCCAAACTGGCTTTGATAATGGCTGTGCATGTGGTTCTCATCGGTGTCACACAAACCAGGGGCTGAGAGCTCTGACTGTGATCAATTAAGGCCTTTTATTCCTTTCTGCTTCCACTGACAATGGCACTGGCAGCACCACCCCCTATTCTGCATCTGGGCTGAGGGAGGGGCTGCACTGCTCTCCCTGGGTTTACAAATTGAATCCTTGCTGCTAGCCAAACCACCTTTCTTTCCTCCTGCCTTTTGGGCTAACATTGGCATGCTGCAAGCAGAAATCTAAGCAGCTACATCCAACCCTCTGGCAGGTTTTTCCTAAATGTACAAATTCCTCCTTGAGTGTACCTGCTAGTGCAGGTGTGTGCAGGTCAGAACTGATACTGCATTCACAGCATCTCTCCTAGCCATGACTGGGCACTCATTACATTAGAGATGTAACTATTATGCTAGTAGCAGCGTTTGAGTGAATACACAATGCAGAGAGACACTACAGCAGGAACAGGAGTGCAAAATGGAGGTTTGCCTACCTAAATGGAACACAGGGGAGGTTAGGAAAGCTGTGTGAAGAGGATTCTGCCCACAGCACCAGGATTAATATTTCTATTCCTACACAAAGTGCTTATTCAAAGATTCTTGACTATAAAAGGCTTCAGAGCTGTGTTCCCCCAGAAAGCCACAGGGTATTGGGGTGTTAGCAGTAGCAAAGAACATTTTCACCAACCAACATTACTCCAGTTTAACACAGCTAGTGGCTGAAGTCAATAATTAAGTATTAATACAAAGAAGTTTTAAACATCTGAATGGCTACACCAGGCAGAAACTGTTAGCTGCAATTTGAGTGAGGGAATTTGAGGGAAGCTTGGATCCCCAAGACTGGGTAAAGAAATTTTGCTGCCAAGCAGCACAATTGCTCTGTGTGATTACCTGAAGTCATCAGTGCTACCTGCTGGCCAGATCCCTCACAGGCTTCTCCAGCTCCTGCCACATCCCTGGGTGCAAAGAATGAGAAGAGTTGCACAAAGGATATCTATCATATCTTTATTTACATATCATGGGGACACACATGCAACATGTCACAGGATTTACTACAATGGAACACTCTGTCCCTATCTCCTGTTACCAAAAACTTTATTTTTGGCTCACTAGGAAAACTATCACTTCCCCAGAAAGCTCCTAAAAATAATCATTAAAAATAACAGACTTGGCAGGATAACTAAATGAGTGAGAGCTGCAGGCTGGGATGTCTTGCCACATCCTTGCAGTAACCAGGTGGTTCTCTGGAAGCAAGAAAGGATGGAACGATGGAGTGGGACTGGATGGTCCCAAAGATGACAGGTAGGAAGTGGTGGTGTGTAACAGCTAGGGAGTATGTCTGGAGCAATGAAAAAGGGAGAGAGCAAGAGCTCTGTCTTAGGGTTCACTCTCACCTAGGCAGCAG